ATTACAGTAAAAATATTAATATTGAAATCTAGTCGTGTAGTCATGACTGAAATCTAGTCACGACTGAAATCTAGTCGTGACTGAAATCTAGTCGCAGCTCAGTCGACTAGAAAATTTTCTAGTCGCGACTGAATGCAAATCGACTAGTCGAAACTACGACTAGTCGACTGGTAACACTATGCCATCGTTATTATTATTATTACTATTTACTATTATATCCTCTAAGTCGCCACCATTATTACTATTTAATGGTTCACTATTACCAGGGTTTCTATTCGAATAAGGTTTATTCGAATTACATTAAAAGTTTATTCGAATAAAACGAATAAAACAAATAATTCGAACTAAGATTGAGTTTTATTAAATGTATATAACTCTAACTATTACCATTGCTTTCTTTATTAATAATTGTTTATCCTGTTACGAGTATTGTATGTTTTTTCTTTTGTCATTCTAAGTGATGCAGATGGACCAGATCGCTTAATGGTTGATTTTCAATTGGTACAATAGTACTACTGTTGAACAAGATTAAAGAAACAGTGTCTTTATTAATGGCACCCTTAGTTAGATTCCTTTGAGATGTAAGGCGTGTTTCCATAAATGAATAAACCTTAATTGATAATTAGTTAGAAAAAAGATAAATTTGTTAAAACAATAACACAAAATTAAATAATTACTGCTGAGTATACTGCGCCTAGCCTATTATCATGTCTTTGTGCAATTTTTTCACGGATGCCTAAACGAATGTTTTCTAAAGGTTTTCTATCATTATGGCTCATTGAATATGATCGATCAAGTGCAAATATAATATGAAATGCTGCTTCACTTTTATTTGGATTATCACAGCTGAACTGATGACCATCCAGTGAAATGTAACCACTACCAGTTGATGCATTAGATGATTGATTTAAAGGTTTATGGAAAATTTCCAATTCACAATAAGATTTTGTGGTAGTTGCACTATTAGAACTTTGTTGCATATTGTGAGCTTCATCTGGACATTCATGATCACATTTTGCAAATTCTGCTTGTTCTTGTGCTGAATATGGATCTTTAAAGCCTGTTCTTTCCCAAAATAATTTATGAGTTACATAATCTTTTTTATTATCAGGATTGGGTTCAAGGGGTACTAATCATTTTAATAATTAATATTAGATTTAAAATTTTTATAAAAATTTTCATAAAATAAAATGAAAAAAATGAATACCATCTAAATGTATTACTTCATGTCCTTGTTGTCCATTTTTACATGCCTCCACATTTTGACAATAATCAATATGTCTATGGCGACCTAATTCTTTACAATAAAAATTACAAAGAACAAAAGAACCTTGATCTCCAATTTGTAATTTATGTCCCTTATACTCAAATTCATCATTCTCTGCAGTAAATTCAGTTAGCGTCATATTCCCATGGGTAGTCTCATGTAGAATTTGTGGATGTCCATAAGGCAAGTTGCAATAATATGTACAAAATTGACATTTTTTATCACAAAAATGAGACCCATCATGTGAATGTGTTCCTTCATGCTCGAAGGAGTTTGGTGGTATTCTTTTATTACATCTCATCCTTTCACTTTGTTGAATATATTTAAAAAAGCTAATTGAAGTTTCTTTAATCAATCCATTGTAAGTTGCTTCTTCTTTTTTTGGTTCAGTTAAAATTTTACAAATGCCTGGTTCTTGACATTTTTTAAAACATTGATGTTCATTACCACAAAAATGATTAACAGCAAGTTCAGTATATGCATGAAAATGATTATTACTTTGGCATCTTTTCTGACAATCTGAAATTGGGCATTCAATTGGACATGTCTCATTTTCACAACGATGTTGATCATGCTCAAGCTCACATGGCATAATGCATTTGTTTGGACATTCATAATCACCTTTATCACCTTTATTGGTTGATGTAATGAGTGAACATGGCTCTCCACAATAATGACGCTTTGATTGACACATGTGTTCATCATCTTTATGTCCAATATCTTTTGAACATACTTTTTGACAATTACGTTTATCACTAAAATTACAAGGTTTTCCACATAAATGGCTGGCTTTATTACATGCATGTTTCCCATCATGTCCTGCTTTATAACTACACACTGGAATAACAGAACTATGTGCTTCTACAAATTGACAAGAAAAGTGACATTCATGATTAGTCTTGCAGTCATGTTTGTCAGTATGATCATGATTTTTAAGACAGTGTAATCCACAATCTTGACAAGAAAGACTACATAATGTCCAAAAATGCATAAGCTTGTCAATCTCTTTTTCAAGAGCATATTTTCCAATAACAACTTCACTATTGTCTTGTGGAAACTTGCTAATGTTTTCAGAAAACCATTCCTCAACACGATATATTCTTCGTTCAACAAGAAATCTGAAAAATAATTGTAACTTTTTAAACCATTCTGAATCATTTTCAGAGCATTTTCTTTTTTGAATATTTTCTTCAAAGTGAGTTCTTAAATCAGATGAAAAATCAACAAAATCAGCATTTTCTTCAAAGAGTAAAACATCTGAATCTGGAAATATTTGATTTTGTGTATTGAATGTTTCTGCAAATTTAGATAAATGAGGTTGATCATCTATTTCTTCCCCTGTATCATGATTTAATAAAGGTCTAATTTCTTGTTCCTTTTGCTCCAAGCCATAAGATATAACTACTGGAAGTATTCTTTTTAAAATTGATAAACGCATTTGAACAAGATTTTCATCCAAAGGTCCCCAATCACAAATTTTTAATTTGGCCATAATGACTTTAGTGTTTTGTAAAAAAGTTTGTGCATTTTCATATTTTGCTTTCTGATCATCCAACTTTGTTTTGACAGTTTTCAAAGTTTTAAACCAAGCAGGATCATTAAATAATGGCCATGGAAAAATAGTCAATCCACTTCTATACATTCTAGTAATAAAATTATCTTCCCCCTGTCTTTGAACCAAGTCCTCAAACTTGAGATAAAACTCATCAACAACTCCTTTTCGATCACTTTTATGAACATCTTTAATTATAATACAAAGTTTTGCTTGAAAAATGTTTGAATCAGATTTAAAAAAAGCTGCACCATCTTGAAATCTTTGAAACATTTCTGACATGTCTCTACTAACAGCAAATTGGTTTTTAAAAAGTATCAAATTTGAAACCATTGTGTTAAACAAAGTTAAAAATAAGTCTTCTTGTGGTGTTCTTTCCAAAGATTTTAAACCTTCAAAATCAAGTGCAACATAAATATTTTTTTTTGTTATAACTAAAGACATCCACACTCCTTCAGTGCATCTCATTGCAGAACCATCAAATGTTGTTCCAACAAGGTGATTCAACATATATGATTTTCCACATGATTGTTCACCCATACTTGAAACAACTTTAACTTGTCTATTACCAAAATGTTTAAATATACCTTCATACCATCCAAGTGAAATGTTTTCTGCAATACCACCAAAACAACATCCATATTCATCATCAAAATCTATATCAAGCTCATTTGATGCTAAACCATCTCGAAGTGGTTGAAATTGATTATTTTTAGCAACTGCAATCTGGATAGGTATTAAACATGAAAGTTGAATTATCCATTCTCCTAGCTGATATTCAATTGAATGTTCTGATATAAAATTATTTTCTTCAATATCTAGACCTGAAAATGTTGCAACAGTAGTTTTAAAATGCTTTAAAACAGATGCTGGTTTTTTTAATTCATTGAACATATTAATAACATAGTTCTCAAAATTTCTGCCATAAATTTCATGTTTAACATCATCATTTACATCAAGGACAATTTTCAAATTAAGTGACTGATTTTGTTCAGGATCTATGCAACTCTCAACTGGATACTTTTCAAACATTGATTTATATGCATCTATAAAGCCATTAAGCTTTGTCTTAGGTTCAATTTGAAAATCCATCCATGTATCATTGTCAAGTGATAAGCTCTGATATACACCTGCAACCTTCAATTCAGTATTTGAAATTACATCAACAACACTTAATTTTTCTTTCTTAATAACAATGTATTCTCCTTTCTGTACTTTGTGTTTAAAATTAGTGTTTTTCCCTTTTAAATTTGAATACCTATTATTGTCAGAATTGGTGATAATTCCTTGCAATTTAATTTGACCAATTGATTTTCTTTGATTACATTTTTGAAATCTGTAATTTGTTTTTTCAAGTGTAATCTTTGTAATTAATGAATGAAATAAATTTTTTTCTACATTAATTGTTGAAAGATGCAATTGACGATTATTTATAAATGAAAATTGAAAGAATTGTAGTGAATTCATATTTGAAGGTAGCCCAACAACTTTATTTGTATTAGAAAATAATCATAATAATAGATATGTTAGATGTAAACAATTAATCAATTAAAAATGGATTACTTTTCTTACTTTTATTAGCAGTACTTCCTAAATTCGAACAAAAATAAACATGGGCTTTAAATATATCATCTTCATTTGATACTGCTTGTAAACTTTTAATTGATTTTTCTTTTACAAACACTACAATACAAGAACCATCAGGTGTGCTTGACATGTTTATAGAATCTGGAGGAAATTGTAATGTTGCAGGACGAAATTGACCAGTTACAAGATTATAAATTTTTGCTTTATCATTAGTTTCCACAAAACATAATTCTTCAGTAGTTTTTATAAAGAAAAAATATTTAATAACTGGTGCTGAATTATTATAATATTGTAGAATTTGAATATTGGGGTTGCGACCATAAAGATTGGTTTGATTTTCATCAAATGCATAAACATTTAGCTAAAATTTTTGGTTTGTGAAAAATGATATATATTACTTACAATTTAATCATTATAATGGATAAATACAAAAATAAATAAATAAATCAATTTACCACTCCTTTTTCAGCAACATAAATTCCAATTAAACCTTTGGGTTCATTTATAGCAAAAAGACAATCACCATCAGGATTTAATGTTTTTAGTGGTTTTAAATTTGATAATTGAAAAGCTGATTTTAAGCGATTAGAATTTTCAAAAAAAATTTCTATTTGATTTGATTTTTTATTCCGAAGTATTATTAGGAACTTTCCATTTTCAAATTGAGATATTTTTCTAAAAAATATTGCATTATTAATTTAATACTGTGATTAATAATATCAAGCCCTACACAAAGCTTAGATACTTAAAATGCACTTAAAATATACTTAAAGTATACTGATGGAAGAGAACAAGAACATTTTAAGTGAGTTTTAAGTATGTTTTAAGTATATGAATTTATACTCAAAACACTCTTAAAATATACTATATACTTAAAATATACTTAACATACTTTTGATGGTAAACTAGCATACTTGAAATACATTTAAAATACACTTAAAATGCTACTCAAAACATACTTAATTTTGTTCATTATTAAAAAAGGTATGTTTTAAGCACATTTTAAGCACCTTCAAGTAGATTTTAAGCATGTTTTAAATACATTTTAAGTACCTAAACTTTTTGTAGGGAAGAATATTGAATAATTGATTACCTGAGTTCATATCTTTCTGGATCTATTTTGAAGGAAGTATGCTTATTGCTGTCAAGATGAAGTTTTGGAACATATAACTCATTTTTTTGAATATTTGAGTTTTCAGACTCTTCCAAGTGTGTTTCATATAATGTTATATTTAGGTGATCAGGTTGTATTGACTCAATTTCATAAGTAAGTTTTAAATACTTATAAAATGTTGTTTCTAATTAAAGGTAAATTTTTGTTAATGAGTTATAATCACAACAAAAAGATTAACTACTTAATTAGAATTACCTTCAGCTTCTATAATTTTAAAAATTGGTCTGTAATTTAAAAATAAAGATATTAATAATAAAAATTTTATAGCATAAAAATCATTTAAAAGTAATTTAATTACCCATCTGGGAATTTTTCTTCAAGTAATAGGCAAACCCTTGTGAATTCTTGTTTTTCTATTGCTTTAATTTTTTGTGATAATTCCTTGCTTAATTTTTCTTCATAATATGTTTTAACATTTGTATATTTTGGTATTATATTTTTGACATTCTCGGAAAAGCCTTTCCTCCATTTTTTAAAGTTTTCAAGAAAAGAATCAATGATTACATTTTTCTTTTCTTGTGAAATATTAAATATTTCAAAATTAGAAATACTAATTGATTTAAAATCATAAAGTTCATTAACAAATTTAGAGTCAGGTACATGCTTTGCTATTTGTTTAGCTTTTCGAATATTAGGTTCAATAACATGAGGTTCAATGACATGAGATTCAGAATTTGGTCCAGTAGTAATAGATGCTAAAGATTTTTCTGCATGTTTATTTACTAATTTAGTAAGATCTGTTTCTTCTTTATCAGCAAATGTATTGCAAAAAAATTCAGAAAAACAGCTTTCCACTTTATTTGAGTCAGGGTTGTCTTTTGAATTAGTGTTATTTGTTTTCCATTTAATAAACATTTCAATAGTCATAAATGAACAAAATTGAAATTTCTCTTTCAAAGATTTCCAGGGGTTTGATCTTATTAGAATAGATTCCTCTATTTTTTTATTTATATAAGGATATTTCTCATTGATTTCATTGATTTCTATTTAGAATTAATAAATATCAAAAAGAATATATCATTTGTTAAATAAGATCTAAGTAACAATAATAATTCAAACAATTTATAATTACTTGATTCTTCAAATTTGTGTACTGTATTATCATCTTTAATAGTTTCTTCAAATTTGCTATATATCAATAAAAGTTAAAGGTCATCTAACAATTAAAAAAAATATATTTTAAGCAAGATTTATACCTGTAAGTTTCTTTTAATTTCATCCATGCCATGTTTGTGATAATTTCTGCATCTCTTTCAATTTCATCTTTTATATTTTCTTTTTTCTTACTAGTTGTTTCTTTTTCAGCTTTTACAGAATCTTCATAAGATGTCAATAGCTCCTTCTCATCATCTAGGCAAAATTCAATAAACTTTTTTAATAATGTCATGTCCATGGAATTTTTTTCAACCTTGAGGGAATATCCTTTAATATATTCTTTAAATGGATGGTGACTTTTTGAATAAATTGCTGAACATCTTTTCATTACTGAAGATGATTTGATAATATTTTGAGTGATGAATGCTTGATGCGACACAGATTCAACAACTATTTAAGTAAAAAACATAAGCTAATGGAATTGAAGATATTTTAAAGAATTCAAACAGAATAATGATAATACCAGTAGGTTGCATAGAGGTTCCATTATGATGAATGATCTTAAGGTCTGGTTGAATGTAATTTGGTAGTTGGACCTAATATGTTTATTGATAAGTTAATCTAATAAATAAATTCATAAATATGAAGTAACTTTCTAACCTTAAAGCCCTTGTGCAACTGGAAATCCTCTTTTTCTTCTTGACTTTCTTTGACTTCAAATTCATAACATGTCTCATCCTTTTCATTGTCTATATCATTATCATAGAAACCATTCCCATCTTTCCTAGTTTCCCATTCAAAACAGGTTAAATCGCTGTTGCTCATTAAACATATCTGATAATCAGTCAGTTTTGTGAGATACCTATAATATTTTAATTTTTTTAAGACACTATTATAGAGTATATAAACAGGTATAAAAAATTTTTTATTACCTGTGGAAATTAATCATATTTTTTTTAAGTTGTTCAGATGCATTATCTTCATAACAACCATGCTCAGGCCAATGAATTACTAAACCAAAATTAACATTCACAATCAACAAATATATTCCTGAACGAAGAGAAGGATTCTCAGATTTATTTGAAGATACAAGCAGATCATATCTAAATTAGACAAAGATGTTAATCATGAACAATAAAAAAATTACAGATGAAAATGAATTGAATTCAACTTACACTCTTTGGTTAATAATTTTTTTGGTTAATAACAGCCTTGCAATCAATTCATAGTTCCCATAGCAGCCAACAAGATTGAATGAGACTCTATTCAATTTCGAATAATTAATATTTGAAACAGATTTAAAGCTTTTGGGAACCAATTCATTACAAAGCTTTTCTAACGATTCCTTTGATATGATTGTTTTGTTAACTAAAAAAAAAAAGTTATGTTGATCAATATATCACATGATTTTGACAAGCCACATTGTCGATTCCTACGAATAATTAAAGACACATACCAAGACCATTTGATCCTTCATCTTTTTCTAGACTCAACAATAGATACAATCCTGGAATATAATCTAAAAGATCTTGTTCCTTTTTAATATCCTTATTCAAACTAGCATATAAATTTTCACGTTTTGTAAATATCTCCGAAATTTTTTCCTTGTTCTTTTTATGACCATCTGATGTGAATGATTTAATGGGATTGGTCACAGCTATCAAACTTTCTGCATCAGGAATTTTTGATGTGGACGAATTTGTATTTTTTTCATGATCAAAATTTGTCTCATCTTTATCAAAACTAAGGTTTTTTGAAGCAGAACTTTTCTTGATAAAAAGACCAGACGATTCATCCGAATTCTTAGATTCTAAATTATCGCACGTTGTCTTGCTTTTGTCGAAGAGGCTTGTATCCATATTATTGTTAAAGTTTTCTGAATCAGCATTTTCTTCGGCAGAGGATGCCGATTGATTATTTGTTTCGATGAAGTAATCAAATGTGCCAGAATTAATAAACCCTTCATTAGTGGTACTATGAACGTTATGATCATCTGTTGTTTGGGAAGAAGTAGATGAATCATTGTATTCGTTAGATGAACCATCATTAGACACGTTGGAAGAAACAGTTGGCACAGGCGAGACTGACAAACTGGTTGAGTTTCCTGTTTTTGTAAAAACCCCGATTAAACACGTTAATTTATATTATTGAAGACAAGAAATTACTTTTCAAAAAGATTTTACTTACTACTATTTTCTGTTATTTCGAGATGATTTTGCATTTTGAATTTTTGAAACCAATAGTAAATATTCTAAAGGTAATGAAATAAATGTATTAATCGAACCTTTAAATATTTGTGAAAAAGTCCATTATTTCCAAATAAAGAAAAGATTATCGGCATGACTGCAGTTTGAGAACAACGAATTTTAGCGTGTAACATTCTCATCGAACCCATAGATGGATTAATTCACGCAAACATTCCCTCAATATAAGTTACCTTCAGTTTTATAAAATGCTGGGTTGCACGCTAAACAATTCCTGCCATCATTGCCAGGATCAAACCCAACACATTGGCAGTTTTTTATACGACAGCCAACTCTAAAAGCAATCTTTCATTTTCTTCTTAAGGAAAATGTTATTTTATATATTTTTAAAATTTTTGGGTAGTGCGTTTGGATACAAAATTCAGAGTAACCTTGAAAATTTCTAATTAAAAATCAAACCTCCAAATAAAAGATTTAACACGTCAATTAATTGTTTTAAAACCCCAGATCTTTAGATACCAAATCCGTTTCCATATCGAATCCATTTTAGGTATAGATAGCTTTCCATCAAATCTATTACATGAAATATCGAAAATATCGAATGAGTTCAAATATTATACTATTGAGTTAATGATACTGAATAAATCCAGTAATCGTATTCATCTAATAAAAATGACTTCAATATTTGAAAATAAACGTTTTTAAATATTAAATATTAAATGTTACAACCTAATTTTAAAATAATCAATCCCGTTATTTCTATTTCGATAGTTAATAATTGATAGTGAGTGTGTGTATTAATGAAATTAAAATGATGACCGATATACACACGTCAACTCGACAAGTCAGTCATTTTTTTATACTAGTGATGTTGGCCAGATATCCATCGAGTTTCGAATATCCAAATATTTGGATATCCGTTGTCGTTAGGAATTTGATATCTGGCTCAAATAGTATTCTCATCTTAAACACGATCAAAAGTCATTATTACTATAAATTAATTATTAATATATATTAATTAGTTACCTAGTCTCAGTGGTGTTGAATTATTAAATTCCAACACTATATCATTAAGATTTGCTTGTTCAAAGTTATCATCCGAATCAAATTAACATTATTGTAATTAAAAACAAAATCGTTCATATTAGAAAAAATCTCATGTAGTATTTTTGATGATGAACTTGGTGAATTGAATTATGAAAATGAAAATCAATTAAATCAATTGAATAAAAAAATTAAAAATCAATAGTTTCAACAAAAATGGTTATCTGAATATAAATGGCTTCATTATGACCACATTCATAAACAAATGTTTTGTACAATTTGTATTCAACATAAAAGAAAAAATCAATTTGCCCAAGAAGGTTTGTAATAGAATTAATTCTAATATTCAATATATACCTTTGAAAAAACTTATTTCTCTTTTGCTTCAGATGGATCAATTGATGGATCTTCATATATTACAAATTAGCGTTGGTCGTCAAAACTATTTTGAAGAGACGAAAGTCAAAACTAAAATTAAAAGTTATATGTCAAAAGTCAATAGTTAAAAATAAAACTAGTTTCGACTTATGGCGAAACCTTTTGACTTTCGCACGGTTGCGAAACTCTCTAGTTTTGGAAACCAACACTATTACAAATGTAACCATCAAATCAATTAACGAATTTTAAATGTTTAAATAAAAATTAACAAAAGAGAGAAGACATGGCACAAAGGGTCAATACACCCAGCATAAGCCATCAGCAAGAATTCCATTCTCTCACTTGGTGGACTTTAATAACACATTTAAGTGAGTCATACGGGTTTGCCATACCTGCTAATAATGGAAAATGAGTCTTATATACCAACCTTTTTCAAGTTGTGCATGGGATATATACAGATTACAACATTTCATTGGACAAATTCTATAGTGTAATTAAAAAAAAATAAAAATTCAAAATAATTTAATAGAAAAAGTAGAGTTGATGATAAGTTGCGAGTTTGTGGAGGTAAATGCTAAATACAAGGTGTATGACGACGTACGAAGCTTCCAAAGAAGTTTATAAAATATACTGATGAACGTTTGTCAATTATTCAATAGTTTGTATAGGCGCGATCAAATACAAGATCTTAGGAGTTTGCAAATTAAGTTTTGCAAATGAACGTTTTATCAATTATTTAATAATTATTTGGGTGAATTTGATCAAAGTAAGTGTTAAAGTCGAGATTTACGAAGCTTGCAATCCAGCTTTGCAGAATGAATATATACTGTAGATGTGATCAAAGTATTTTTAGTAATAAATAAATAATCAATCAAATTGTCAATTAATTAAAAAAAAGTAACCAAATAATAAGTTTAATTCTTAAAAATAAACAAATCAATGAAAAAGAAAGATGCTTCGCCACCACCAAAAAGTTATCTTAGTAGCATATATGATAAAATAAATAAATAACAAAAAACAATAATGAATTCAATTGTTGAAATTAAATAGCTCTTCTTAAAATAAACAAAATTTTTTATTCTACCAAACTTAAGGTTGTGGGCGAAACCTCCTTAGTAATTGCTGAAGCCACGGCAAAACTATATTAAATCTTATCAAAAATCCTGTTGAAACTATGCTGAAATGGCGAAACCTCAAAACAAACATGACTTAGCTATTTAATCATTTCCTTGTATGTGAACGCCCTCATCCAACAAATATTCATGATGATCATGATTATTATTCAATACATTTGATATCATCATTGACATAACAAACAATTGCATCACACAGGTAGTAACAATACCAAGGCCATGCATAATGAAACTTTTTAATAATGCATGTCTACCCAGATCTCTGGGGTTCACAAAAAAATATTATAGTTCCTTAAAATGAATAATAAATCTGATGCTTAATCGCAGGTGTCAGATTTAATTAAAATTTTCCTATCACAAACATTATGGTTAGGTGCTCTTAACACGCCTCATAATTGTGGGCTTTTTTCCACAAGTGAGGGACCCCACATGCTGGATGGCTTTTATAATGTTGGCAAAAATTTCCCTATTATCCCCTCAGACTAGGCTTGGCTGTTACCATATGGGCATTGTTTGCTGATGAGAGTTAGCATTTATGATGATTGCTGTGTGTTATACCTCTCTAGAATAAAGCTGGCACCTGCAACTGGTTCAAAATTTTCCAACTTGGAAGGGTTGCTGTTTTGGATTCAGAGTTTTGAGTCTTGGGTTGCTGAAATTTTTATGAAAAGAAAAGTATTAATATTTAACAATTAATTATTTAAATGTTTATTTTGTTGAAAAAAATATACATTGGTAGTGTACATTTTCTGTGCTTAACATCCATGTGTCCTTAAGTCTGGACAAAAGATCTCTTTTATGAGTTTGGCTGGTATATCCCAAAGGCGTCCCCTGTCTTGTCAGTGGCATGCCTACTCACTAACAACCCTACTCCATTCGAAAAACAAGTTCAGTTGGTCAAATAAAAATTAAAGAGAAGCAGAAAATTTATGAAAATGATTAACTTGTATAAAACATACCAAAATCTGAACCATTTTATAACTTTTTTCTTGTTGGCCATATTGCTGACAAAGATGTATATAATTATGTGATAATTTTAATCTATAGGACAGAGGACTTATTGGGCAAAAACCCAATCCAGTCCCCTACCCAAAATCATAAATTGGTTAGCATCAGAGAAATAGAGCATTTATGAAAATGATTATGCAAAACAAACACTATTTACAACTTTCCTCTTAACATCAGAGCCAAATGCAATTTCAGGGCCACCAACCCTGCTCTGAATTGTAACCTCCTGTGCTTGAAACAAGTTGCAGATTTTCGTTGCTTTGATGGAGGATATTTACATGGCACTACAATTCATCAGCAGAATTGTAACATCTTGGTCACAGAGCCATCCTTACCCTAGAGGTGGAATCGTTGCAGGCAACTTTTCAACCAGCGTGCCAGCAGCCATCTCTGGTCTGGGAAGATTAGTGAAAATGTCATTGACAATTGATGCAGTCTCGGTAAACTCCAGGGCACTGCTTCCCGCCCCCTCGAGTTCAATTGCATCATCATATCATCGGGGGATCAAGTCAGATTAGCCTTGTGTACACGAGGAACGTGTGAGAATGACTGTAACGTTCAAGGTAGCGTGCGTGCTTCAACGCCTGCCATTTTTCTGTAATCAAACATTGCATATTTGAATTGTTTCTTTTTAAATGGTGTGCTGCCTTGACATCTTGTAATTATATATTAATAATAGTATTATTGATTACGAAAAGCAAAATATTATCAATGAAAATCTTGTAATTACCCAGCAATGATCTGCTCCGCGTTTTGATTTCCAATTAAAATATTTATAA